GAAGTAGGAAACTCTCAAGAATGGGGACGACAGAAATAGCATATGGCTAGTCATGTTGCCAGGTAAATACTAGTGAAATAGGATAGCTTCTGGTATTACTTTCCTAAATCCCTGATGTTATGTCTTCCTCCAGGGTGTTAGTCCTCACTCTGAGCCCACCATGCTAAGCCTAGATTTAACTGCAACTTCTGAAACACTGAGGACTCTGAATCCCAATGCAAAGATATACATGGAATTTACATGGGAAATGGATGATGTAAAGAATAACAGAGGCTGGACGCACTGGCTCACACCTGTAATCCCAGCACTTTGGAAAGCTGAGGCAGGCAGATCACAAGGTCAGGAGTTCGAGACCAGCCTGGCCAACATGGTGAAACACCGTCTCTACTAAAAATACAAAAAAATTAGCTGGGTGTGGTGGCGGGTGCCTATAATCCCAGCTACTGGGGAGGCTGAGGCAGAAGAATCACTTGAACTCGGGAGGCAGAGTTTGCAGCAAGCCAAGATCTCGTCTCCATGGTACTCCAATCTGGGTGACAGAGTGAGACACCGTCTCAAAAAATAAAACAAAAATAACAGAAAGACAAGAAAGAAGAACAGCCAAACAGCCAACAATAGTTCAGAAAAAATCAGCACCTGATAGCCCAAAGGAAAGGAAACTACATATTACAAAGTGAATTTTTGGCCAGGTGCAGTGGCTTACACCTATACCTAGCACTTTGGGAGGTCAAGCTGACAGGATTGCTTGAGCCTAGGAGTTCAAAACCAATCTGGGTAACATAATGAGAAACCATCTCGACAAAACAAACAAAAATTAGTTGGGCAGGGTGACATGCTTCTGTAGTCCCAGCTACTTAGGAGTCAGATGGATGGATTACTTGAGCCCAGAAGGTTGAGAATGCAGTGAGCCATGAATGCATCACTAGACTACAGCATGGATGACAGTGAAACCCTGTCAAAATAAAGATCAGGGCACAGCAGCTCATGCTTGTAATCCTGGCACTTTGGAAGGATGAGGTGGGGGGAGGATCAGGTGAGGTCAGGAGTTGGAGACCAGCCTGGGCAATACAGTCAGACCTCATCTCTATTAAAAATAAAAATAAAGGGCCGGGCGCGGTGGCTCAAGCCTGTAATCCCAGCACTTTGGGAGCCCGAGGCGGGTGGATCACGAGGTCAAGAGATCGAGACCATCCTGGTCAACATGGTGAAACCCCGTCTCTACTAAAAATACAAAAAATTAGCTGGGCATGGTGGCGCGTGCCTGTAGTCCCAGCTACTCAGGAGGCTGAGGCAGGAGAATTGCCTGAACCCAGGAGGCGGAGGTTGCGGTGAGCCGAGATCGCGCCATTGCACTCCAGCCTGGGTAACAAGAGCGAAACTCCGACTCAAAAAAATAAATAAATAAATAAATAAAAATAAATAAAAATAAAAATAAAAATTAGTAAGACATGGTGGCAGAAGCCTCTAGTCTCAGTGACTACAGAGGCTGAGGAAGGAGGATTGCTTAAGCCTGGGAGATGGAGGCTATAGTGAGCTATGGTTGCATCACTGCATTCTAGCCTGGGTGACAGAGTAAGATGTTAACTCTGAAAACAAAACAGAATAAAACAAAAGAAACAAGATAATTTAAAGAAGTGTCTTGCAAGAACAGCCTATGGTGCATGTAAGTATTAAGCAGATCAGTGATGGGAGGTATTCCTGGCACAGGCAGTCATAAATAAACATCACTTCGAGCAAGGAAGCAGAACCTGAGCATACCAGAGTCTTGGAGCTGCAAAAATTACCCAACAGGCAGAGGGCAAGCAAGACGGGATGCATTATGGTGCCTGTAAAGCTCCTTCTCTGGAAGCTTCCAGCAAAGCAGGTGTTGGGGCTGCTGAAGGAGAAGAGAGGGTAGTACACACACCTGAGTCCTACCTACCACAGAACCTACCCAGGGAACTAATAGAGGAACCTGTGCCCAGGTTGCTGAAGTGAGGAAAATAGTCTTGCCATGGGGGAAAAAAAAATGGAGAAGGGCAGACACTAGCTGAGGTCACAGAAGGGTATGAGGGCCTTACCTAGAGAAGATATAAGTGCCAGGTTCTCCAGCATCACGTCATGATAAAGGCATCTCTGAGCCTCACTAAGGAGACTCCATTCCTCCTGGGAAAACTTCACAGCCACATCTTCAAAGGTCACAGTGCCCTGCCATGATGATGACAGATGAAACCACAAACGCCCCATATGCTCATCCACTTATCCACCCTTGTCTTTCCTCCTCCCAAGGTCCTCAACTACAAGGAGAAACTAGGTCCACTGGTGTCACTGTCTTCTCATGGGCTCACTGGGCATGGTGCACAGGCATCAGCAACAAGAAGTGGGTGAACCAATAGGTTTCTATGTTTTGGTACTGACATAAAGCAGTCCATACCTCCTGACAGCCAATACCCCTGCTAGAGATGAAGTCATATAAATCCCAATGCAGCACCCTGGGTCTATCAGACATACTCCCTCTCTAAATACACATCATTCACTCTCTTTTTTTTTCTTTGAGATAGAGTTTCATTTCCATTGCCCAGGCTGGAGTGGAATGACATGATCTCAGCTCACTGCAACCTGTCTCCTGGACTCAAATAATTCTCCGGCCTCAGCTTCCCAAGTAGCTGAGACTACAAGTGCGTGCCACCATGCCTGGCTTTTGTGTGTGTGTGTGTGTGTGTGTATTTTTGGTTGACAGAAGGTTTTGCCATGCTGCCCAGGTTGATCGCAAAATCCTGAGCTTGAGTGATTCACCCACCTCAGCCTCCCAAAGTGCTGGGATTACAGGCATGAGCCACCCTGCTAAGCCAAAATATACATCATTCTTTAGATTGCACAGACATATGCCCATGGCCACCCCCACCAAACTGCCTCTCATGTTTGCCTCTCTCTGCCTACCCACAAGTATGTTTATACCCTCTTCTTCCTTCTACCAGTAAGAGTGGGATTTTTACCTTACAGTTATATTAATGACCAAACACATGACATCAAACACTAGACTGATGCTATAAATATGTTTAAAAATCAAATATACTCAAAGTCTGGCAGAGGACACCCCTCAACATAGAGGACCACATGGAAGGTGCACTATGGATAAGAGTGCGTAACCAGAAACTATGGTATGCAAGCTTTTAAAATGTAGAGGGCGTGATGACCCTCGATTCCCTTGGGAGGATACAACTGGCTTGTTTGAATAACACTGTGGGTAGGGATAAAATTGAAACTCACTACAAAGTATAATAAGCAGGAATTCTGCCTGGTCTCCCTAATGAAAGGATTATTAGGCCATGCCGATAATTATACAAAAGAGCCCAGTGGGAAGGGAACTGGCTGTCAGGCCACTTGAGGTCATACCAATATCACTGGATATCAAAGTGGCACATCATACTGGTCCTCCATTTTTGCCTCTATACCACAATATGGCTGACAGCACCAAATATGCTTCACATATTCAAACAGGATCCAATAATAACAAAAAATGACCATGGTTCCCATTAGCAGTGGTAGTCCCTTATAATTCTATGAATGTCTCCTTGCATGACTCCACAGCCACGCAAAACACATGTAACTTCAGATATCCATGGTCTTATTCTGCTTCTGTGCTGCACTGGCTTACTCTTCAGCAACATGGACCATCTTACATTCACGTAATACCACTGACATGTAAAGACCAGTCCTGGACAGGGGCAGTAGCATTTTGGGAGGCCAGGGCGAGCGGATTGTGAGCAAGGTCAGGAGTTTGAGACTAGCCTGGCCAATATGGTAAAACCCCATCTCTATTAAAAAAAAAAAAAAAATTAGCTTGGCATGTGGCGCACGCCTGTAATCTCAGCTGCCAGGAGGCTGAGGCAGGAGAATCACTTGAACCTGGGAGGCGGAGGATTCAATGAGCCAAGATTGTGTCACTGCACTACAGCTTGGGCAACAGAGCAAGACAAAAAAAAAAAAAAAAAAAAAGACCGTCCTGTTTTTAATCCATTCAAGGCCCAAGACTTACTGACGGTTACAAATGACCATATGTCTCCCTTAGCATATTCAGCAGGCCTAACAAAACTCCCCACGCACTACTAAAGTCATCACAAATCTTGATTGCACAGTGATGAATAAGCACCACTCTGGCCTAAGTGTCATCTTCCCTCAATTTGACTTCTGTATGTATCTATTTCATGTCTATTCTCTCCTTGAAAGTCTATGTCCCCTGGCAAACTAC